AAGTCCCTCTTCTCTTTTTTTTTTTTTTTTTTTTTTGTGTGTGTGTTTTGTTTTCATTACAGGTGATACGATATTCATTATTCTTAGGAAGCAGAAGCTCATCTTCTTACACTGGTACCATCACATTACTGTGTTACTTTACTCTTGGTACTCCTACAAGGACATGGTGGCTGGCGGTGGCTGGTTCATGACCATGAACTACGGAGTACACGCCGTCATGTACTCGTACTATGCCTTGCGGGCTGCTGGCTTCAGGGTCTCGCGCAAGTTTGCCATGTTCATCACCCTGTCGCAGATCACTCAGATGTTGATCGGTTGCGTGATCAATTACCTGGTCTTCTCCTGGATGCAGCAGGGCCAGTGCCATTCCCACGTGCAGAACATCATCTGGTCCTCTCTCATGTACCTCAGCTACTTTGTGCTCTTCTGCCATTTTTTCTTTGAGGCCTATATCGGCAAAACCGGAAAAGAAAGGAAAGTTGAATAGTGGTAGAAACGAGAAGCCATAGCTCAGGGTCATCAAGAAAAACAAAATTATAAGACAAAAAAGGCACAAGGAAACACATATATGTATGGTGCAGCTAAAACTTGGCAGCTTAGGGAAAGTTAGCATGGTTTAACCCAGTAAGTTTATGATCCTATCATGGTGAGGACTCACTGAATTCTACTCTATCTCAAAGGACTGCTGATGAAAGACAACTTCCTTCTTGTACCTCTCTGCTCTAGAAAAGAAGGAGAAAAGAAGAGGAAAAATCAAGAAAAAGAAAGAAAAAAGAGAAGAAAAGAGAAATGGAATAATTATAAGGGGGGAGAAAAAAGTACATTAAATAAGCAGTGTGTTTCCCCAAGGTGGAGGAGAGACTTTTATTCAAACAAAGAAAAAAAGTTCCTTAATATTTTCTAATAATTTCTCTGCATTAAACAAAAAGGCAGAGGTGACAAAAAAAAATCTGTCTATAATAACAACAAGATTGCAGAATTAAAATCTTTTCCATAAAAGGTTAATACCTTTAGCCATAATGAAGCCCAAAAATATGTTTCCTGCATGGAAACTGGCTGAACTCCACACTGTGGTTATGTATGGAAAAGAGAGGAGATTGATTTCTCTGCTTATGTACTCTGCCAGGAGAGCAGATCTGGGACACAGAGTGACCTCCCTCAGAAGGCAGAAAGGAGCAGTATTTTTGCAAGAGTTTAATGTGAAAAGATGCACTGTTGCAATACATATCTCAAAGAGTGCATTTTCCAAGTGAATTTTTCAGTTAAAGGCAAGGAATTTCTGCAGCAGGATAAGTCATAGAGGGTTAAATCAATCAATATTTGCTAAATTACCAGGGGCTAATAGTGGAGGGATATTCAGGAAGGAGAGGGAGACAACTCCCCTCACAAGATTTTTAGGAATTATCCATTACTCTTAATTTAGCCCGCAGCAACACCGAATTAAATGGGGAGAATCGGGAGAAATCGCAGTTAGCAAGAAGAGAGTGATTTATTTGCCCACTGTTTTCAGAACAGAGCCCTGTGGTACAATCTGGATTCTGTGTTTTTGCAGACACAAGGATGCCTGCCTGAGTTGGGAGAGGTGGCAGGACTGTGCGACATTGGGTATCACTGTGCTTCTGCATCTGCCTCCTGGGCAGTGCAAAGATGTTCAAAGTGCCCTCCTCTGGTCATGTGGAGATACTACTACAAAACATACCTGGAATAGGTTTTTCTTGAGATTTGTGTAGAAAAAAATTAGCCTAAACTAAGTAATTTTGCTGCAACTGCTTGACTCTAAAGTCCAGAGAGAGTTATCTTTCATTAAATAAATATATCTCTGCAGAATCTGTACTGTAACATCAGACTGACCGCTTAAGAAGACACTTTCTTCTCTGAAGTCAGCTACAGATATAAGGAGAAATATATTTCACTCTGAACCTTAGAGAGTTAGTTGAGAACAGCCATATTCTTTCAAAGACAAGTAGATTGCATTATCTGTGATATTCCAGTCCTTACAAAGCCAAATAAAATGTGTAAAAGTTCCTAGTATTTCAAAGACGCAAGTATGTAAACTTGATGTTAAATGTGTTAATGTAGTATTCTAAATTGTAACAGCTAGGTAGTTTAACTAAACAATTAGAAGAACTAGATCAACAAAATAGGGACTGCTGTTCTGCATAGAATATACACACACCTATAACTACACCCATATACACATTCTGTGAATTGTCAACAAGAAAAAACAGCCCAGTGGCAGAGAATCACATTTCCTGGCTAATGCAAAAGATTGTCATTATCTTTCTTGCTTTAATTTGAGATTGTACAGTACAAAGGGGTTTTTTCAATTATGATTTTTAGCTTTAATTGTGCTGTCATTCATGAAACAGAGCTGCTTTAGTATCCTGTTAAGAGATGACAAGGGCTTTCGGTGTCTCATTATATACAAAAGAAAAACAAATAAAGTTACATTCCATAATATGTGAATGGTCTTACAAATCAAAGGCCTTTTCAGGCTCAGATCGTAATTATAAATGCAGAAAATGAGTTTACATTTGTGTTATTTAAGTTATTGATGTGCTGACATTATTTTATGGTACAAAACATCGCAAAATGTGATATGCAGTAATGAAGCTATGATATTCATTAATAGGACTACTGTATACGTGGAAATATTAGACAAAACCAATTAAATGTGTAAACCATTTTGTTATACAGCTTGGGAGTAGATAATTATAATGCTGAATAAGCCTTTTTCCTCATGTTTAATTTTGCCCTGGCTAAAAAGCAGGTTAAGAAGACCGGTAAAGAGTGGAAAAGGCAAACTTATAATTAACTGCAATTATCTGATAAAGCATTAGTAGAAGCCCACCATTGTGCCATTTAGAGCCTCAGTCCCATGTGTCTTAAGTCTCAAGAGGGGCTGGAAGTGGTCCAGTGTCCGGAGCTGAAGCTGGAGTAGACCTCTTGGACTCTCTGAAGTCAGTGGAGGCTTAGCTATGCTTTGAACAGAGCCAGTGTGCCTGACTGCCTTTATTTTAGCAGAGGGGAAGGAGCTCTGTGTATCTCCTGCGAATTTGAGGCTTATGGCTCATGACTCAAAACCCTTTTTGATGGCAAGTGACATCATTTCATGGCAAGGACTTGTGGCCCAGCTTTAACACGGGTATGAAACAGGGTTGCAAACAACAATCTACCCTGTTGCATACTCTGCTTTTCTTAACTGCATAGGATTAAACCTCCACGTTTCTAGGTCCTGGATGGCAATTCTGGCAATGCCAACACTGATTTCAGCAGGGCAAGAAATTCACTTGCTCTTTCCCCATCTCCCAAAGCCCTCATGGGTACCTCTGCACCATTCCCAGCATCTGCTCCTCACCATGCCCACTGCCCTCCCAGACAAGGCTGGCTGTGGGAGAGACAGCTTTCCTGCTGCCTGGGAAGCAGCTCCAGTGCAGTCACCAGCCCGAGTGACCTCCTCAGCAGGCTGTGCAGATGCACCCCTGGTGTGCAGGGGAAGCTGAGCACCAAATGCAGGGGGCATCCTGGCAGGTGACTGGGCTGCAGACAAGCACGCTTGTAGGAATGTGCCAGAAAGATCAGACATGTAAGGTACAGTGACAAATTAGGGAACATCTGTTGTCACACTGGGCACTGGCTGTGACACTGCCATTTGCTTCAGGGAATTACAACATCACACACACACTTACACAGGTCCTACGGCCCTACTGTACCAGTGGGCTTTTCCTCTGAGGTTTTCCACTGGAGTCAAATGGGCTAACTGGCATTAAAGAATTTGACAAAAATACAAAAAACAGATGACACTGTTTTTCTTGCTTTTCTTCCCATGAAACATACGTGCATCATTTTCAGATATCGCGTTTAATCCACTTGCATATACTTAAACACTGAGCTTGTCAACCCTAATGTAATGACACCTCAACAGTACTCCTGCTGTTCCAACCTTTGAGCCACAAGATACAGAGCTAATTGGGTCCTACTTATTTCCCCTGGCTTGAGTCTTGGAGTCATATTTTCAGATTTTTCTGTCCAGTACCAGAACTCTTTTTTTCCCTAATTATTATAAAGAAATCTGTAATTCTATTGCATTCACACATGCCATGAGAAACTCAAACTTTATATAAATTTACCAAGGATTATAGGACTTGTGACAGCCGTGAGAGATGCTAGAAATGCTGTTATGGGATCCACTGTTGAAGTCAGGAAAGTTCCACTAGTGATGAGGTCACTCTACCACAGTCAAAGTCTGTGTTTTATGTTTTGATGCATTAATCCAATGTACTGAAGTAAAACCAGAAAGGTCAGTATGGGTTTATGCTTAGGCAGTTCCCAGCAGAATTTGGCTCTTCCGTAAAACTACTTCTGTGCAGTGAACACTTAAAGTATTTTAAACTAGTTAGTGAAAGAGCAAAAGCTTGGATAATTCTTAAATTGTGCCGGTGATGACAAGGAAACCCCTCATTCTTACAGACCTTCTGTAACTCGGAGTCACAAATTATTTATGTCTGGGCTCACCAATAACACCCAACTAGGAGCAGCTGGCTCCAAAAGAGACATCTCACCAGCATCTCAGTAAAATGATACAAGTTTTACTTGCAAGATAAGGGCTGGAGTGTGCAAGAGGAATCACTCAAAAGAGTCATGCAAGGTAGCAGAAAGAAAATACTGGGCACAAATTGCAGGAGAGACACAGAGGGAGATCTATTCCATATCCCAGGACAAAGTATTCCCAGGGTGAACACTCACTCCTTTCCAAGATGAGGAAAGGCAACATGGAAGGAGGGTGGGCTGCACAGTGCCAGGCGCTCAGGATGGGGTGGCTGGTGGAATAAAGCTTCCATGTAGAAGTTAACTTCCTGCAGAAGTTAATTAGGCAAAGTGGGTCTGCAGATTTGTTTGGAGGAATATCCGTGGTCTGATAGCTTGTTCAAGTCCTGGGTGTACTTTATTTTTTTCTCCTGAAAGTAAAAACTTTCAGGAGAAAAAAAAATTTAGTTAAAAACAATGGTACATCAGGGTTCAGGCAACATTCAGGTGGTTTCAGGCAACAAAGAGCATAAGAGACCAATTATTGTGACCGTGAAACAGCCTTTATAAGCAGTGCCAGATACAATACAGTGCTGTAATATCTCTAGTACTTGTAGCCTATTGTGTACTTCAGAAACAGAAGTGTAACATCTTTGTATAGAAATCATAAACACAGATATAAAGTAATGAAGATGGCTTTGATCAAGGAAGAAATCAAAACCAATTTCAAACCATACTGCATAAGTTCAGGACTTGTTCCAATGCCTGCTTAAAGTGAGATTGTTGGTGAGATGTCCAATGACTTCAGGTAGCTTTGCATCAGCCCACCGGAGCCCAGTTGCAGAGGGTGATGTAAGACCTAAATTCCCTTTTTGCTTAGTGGTGACATGAACCATCTGGGGCATTACTCAGCTCTGACGTGGGTCTTCAGACATATTTTCCAGCCTAGCATCAGTGAGCCTTCTACAAAGGAAGAATTGCAACTCAGAATTGTCGGTGGGTTTCCACTGTTTTATTTCAATACATTTTCCATTCCATTTATTTTATTAAAAGCAAGCTAAAGGACAAGTCCCTGATCCTGCTACCATGAGTGCTCCATTGCAGCCAGTGCACTATATGCAGGCTTTTGCTTACAGGGGTAAAGACAGGACCAGGGTCTTGTTACTGACTTAATTTCTAGCAGAGCAAACACCACAGGGTAGGATTTGATTTCTTAAATTGAATCAACTTTACCAGCACAAATAAGAATGGATCTGCACATTAACTTGACAGCTAAGGGGAACCAGGGCCCTCCCCAGGACATCATACTATAAAATGCTGCATGAAGAGGAGTTAGAGTGTATTTCCCAATGGGTATAAAATAATACTTCCCCGAAACAGTGACTTTCCTGAGAAATCTCCCTTCTGTCCTGTTCTGGACAGCTTCAAACAGGCCTGTCTGCTGAAAAAAATGCAGCTCTGATTGACTTATCTGCTTTCTCAAAAGGGCCACTACATGCTTTAGGCTTTTTGGAGCCTTAAAGCTCAAGCTAGATTTATATTCAGAAAAACAACCTTAATATGTGTACAATAACTAGAAGAGAGTAGTATGATAAAAATCTTTATTTTACCATTTTCAAATGGCTATTTCATTACATAAAAGGAAGTTTTTATTTTTATTTTTTGGGGGTATATTGATATTCCAAATAAATTTTAACTTTTGGTTCAAAATAAAATCTGTCTCTGTGTCTTATTAACATGTACCATCCATTTTTTTCTCTCTACTGGCACCAAAACCATCTATTGAAAAAGAGAAGTGGTTCTCCAGATATGAGACTATATAATATGATTGCTGTGTCACTTCCTAACAGATCTCTACCAAGTTCATATTTTTGTGCACCACACAGAAGTATCACGTGTTTTTTTTTTTCTTTTTGTGTACATTACATGTATCCGTGTGATGAGAGTGCATATCATACGCACAGCAAGAGCAATTCATGGCTGCTTTTGCTTTTACTCTTTTGGAGTTAAGCTGAAGCAGGCTAAAAAGGAAAAGCTTTGTTGCCTTACATGCACAAATCAGTGAAGTGACTTGGCATCTATTGTAGGACGAACCAAAATCTGAGGCAAGGTCCAAAGGGAAAAATGTTTGGGCTGCATCATCACCCTGTTGGACCTCACCATCCCCGCTGGCTTCCAGCCCCACAGCAGCTTTCTGAGCAAAGACGGCAGAAGCTGGGGCAGAGGGAGGAGCGTGCAGTGGGAAGGCCACCGTGGGGACACATGGGGATGTGAGAGACCCTGGTGACCTTCCTGAGGACTAGCTTGGGAATCAACCCAAGGAGCAATCTGAAAATGAAACGGCAAGAAGAGGGAATTGCACATATGGGCTGGGAAGTGCTGCCTACCATCTACAGTATTATCACAGGGAGAGTGAAAGAGGGAATACTGTAGCAAAGCAGACGGGTGTTTCCAAGGTAGGTGCAGCTCAATAACTGGTTCAATAACCAAGCAGAAAAAAAACAGGATGTAGGCAGCATTTTCAAGCTTATGGCAGAAACTACATTTTCTTTTCCTCCAGCTCTCTGTGGTTCTGACCTGTGACACTGTCTATGCCCCCAAGCACAAAAGTCAGCTCCTCTTTCTAGTTTCTTCTGTCAATCTGCTGTGGCTTGCAGTGAGCTTGTGCTTGGAAGTCCCCAGCAGAATTAATCATCCTGGCATCCCACTAAACATGGGCTGCTGCTTACCCTAAAGATGATATTGTGTTGTGCTTGTCCTTCAGCACTGAGTGGACACACAGGTGCCCATCACCACTTGGCTCTAGCAGTGCTCTGTTTATTGCCATCCCAGCAAGAAGAAACATTTTCCTAAGCTGAGCACGTGCAGGAGCCCAGCCACAGTGGAGGGGAGCCGTGGCACTGTAGCTGATGCTCTCCTGCCAGCTTGTGCAGGGAATAGCGTACGGCCCCACCTTCAGCCATGCTCTGTCCCTCATGCACGGCGACTGCCTTGAAGACAAAGCTGAAGCACTTCATTAAGTTCACGCAAACAAACACAGATTCTACAGTGATGCTGGACTTGGCCAAGAAGTTTCTTGAGTCTTTGCCACATTGCTTAATGTCAAAATACTGAATAATCATTCTTCATCCGTTCTCCTCCAAGTAGCTTGATGACCT